TAAAGCAAGCCCTTCTACTTCCCCTTCATGGTCCTTTTTCCCTATCTACAAAAGCTAACATGTAACCAGTATGAATGGCTAGCTCCAATCTCCCTTTCCAGCCACATCTCCCTCTTCTCCCTTTCATGAATCCTACAGAGAATCACAAAAACTTCAGAATTGCAGAGTTAGAAGAGATCTCAGTGGTTAGCTAGCCTGATTCATACATGAACAAGAATTGTTCCTATGTCATAACTGACAAATAGTCACATGGCCATTGCTCCTCTATTCCTCTCCCTTAATCTCTCTGAAATGACCTTCTATTTACACTGTATATATCTTCTACATACCAGTTATTGGCATTATAAGCTCCTCAAGGGCAAGGACTTTTCTTACCACTTTTTTCTTTTGTTGTATCCTTAACTCTTAGCATAGCTCCTGGCACACAAGTAAGCCCTTAATAAATTCTTAAGGATTTGAAAAAAAGAAAGAAGAGGGAAAGGTTTTGTAGTTTCATGAGGAATAATTCTTGTTTCAATGTTGTCAAGAAAACATGGCCTGTCATATAGGCTGCAAAAATTACAAGTGTCTTCTCTCGATAAGTACATTCTACCTATAGTAGTCCATGTTTCTGTTGGAGTGTCATGAGAAGAGTTAGATGATTCCTTGGATGTCACCTAAGATTAAAATTCCATGATTCCATGTAGGGATTTATGTCTTGTCCGCTCAAATGAGTTAACATATGTAAAGCACTTTGCAAGCCTTATAGAATTATATAAATTAAATTATTATTATAGAACCCTGGTAGAATATAAGCTTTGGGTGCAGGGGTCTTTATTATGATGATTTGTATTTATATCATCAGTGCCTTAGACAATGTCTTCCATATAGCAGTTTCTGTATTAAATACTTGTTGGATTGGACTGAAGTCTGCTTAAAAACATCCTTATTTTTGTTCCCAATAGAGTTTAATTCAAATGGTGTATTTCCCAATAACACCTTGCCAAGACAAACTGGTTCAGTGACTTAAAAGAGACTACCCTTATCTAAACCAACTGTTTTGTTATTATAAAAGAGAATGGTCATGATATAGGACCCTAACAGCTGGAATCCACCATCCTAACTGTGTTTTATAAAAATGAAACCATCATTATCTTCAATGGAAATAGAGGGTAGGAGAGGTTACCGAGCAAATGGGTCTGTTCTCAGCTGTGAATTTTAGGATGCATTCTGTGAAATATCACTGCATGTGTAACTCAGTTTTTATTTCCTTTTGCCCTGATTTTTTGTTTGTTTGTTTGTTTGTTTTTTAGCTTTAAGTTTTACTATGGGAAGGAAAAATAAAAGACTTGAACTCTTCAATTCATACACTAACTTCCATATAGATTTCCTTGTGCAAGTAAGAAAATTACTGTCTAATTATTAGTGCAGAAACTCTGCCCAATCTTCAAGCTTTCATGAAATAACAAATGCTACAATCACGATGGTTCAAGTGAGGCACATCTCCAGGGATGCTAGTTTTCTGGAATTTTCTTTTGCCTTATATGTGACTAAATTTAGAGAAAATAACAAATCCTTGCCTTCCTGTTCCAATGTCTTAGTAGGGTTTCCTCCTTTGTGTTGGGAGAAATTTTCTGTGCTGATGAGAGCATCCTTTATTCACCAAATGTTCTCCAGTGAGTGATCTGACCAAGTCCTGTGGTTCCTGAATTTGTTGTACTACATACCCTAAATATGCTCCAAAGCCATGCAAACAGAACCATTACCTCTCTGTTTTTGGATCTGTAAGTTAATGGATAAACTTGTTTAACAGCATTTGGCTTTTATCCTGATTCCTGAGCACCCTGAAGGCTTCTGGCCATTGCAAGCTCATCAAAAGAACCCTATTCAAGAGTTCAAAGCAAGTTACAAATATAGCAAATGGCAGACTATAACAAATGAACTGAAAACAAGGAGTCTGAAGAGAAAAGAATTCATCTCATAGAGGAAGAGTGTCCTTAAACACAACTAGAATGGATCATCATATGATCATAGATTTTAAAATGGAAAGAAACTTAGAAGTCACATAATCTGATCCCCTCATTTTACATAGGAAAGAACTGAAGCAAAGAGATTAAAGAACATGTCCAAAGTCACACATCTAGTATGATATAACCCAGGACCCCCAAATTCCAATCTAATGTTCATTCCATTATGCCATGTTTTCACCAAAACTATGAATATGTGTTAAAGTCACTTGAATCAATAGTACCAAGAGAGGTGAGTACTGCTGGAACTATATCTGTAACATCCAATATAAAGATTTTCGGTTAGGGACAATATTAGAAGACATGTGTAGTGAAGTCTTGCTACATACTCAGCCAAGATTTTTTTTAACTAGGAACTCTGTGACTCATTGGTTTGTAAACGAAGGTATCCAGGTTCCAAAATGATGCTAAACAACTGTTGAAACTATCATGATTTGGTAAAAAAAAGGATTCAATTACTGGTGGTCCTACCTTAAATACATTTCATACTAGACTCAAGTAACTGGCAGTCCTAGAATTGTCTAGGAAAGTGCTTACAACTAGCAACTTATTTTAAAACACAGTAGCATTGTGAGAATGCCTATTGCTATTACTTCAACTCCAGAACATAGAAATGTAGTCCTTGAGTGAACCATTTAGGCAGTCCATAGACCCCGAAGGGGTTCATGGATAATTTTTAGGTTATTTGTAAACTTGAGTGGAAAAAAAATTACACTTTTATTTCAATTTAGCTGGTCTCCTTTGTAAACCAATTCAATTTATTCTATGTATTTAAAAACATTTAAACTGACAAAGGGGTCCATGTCACAAGAAAAGCCTAAGAACCCCTGATCCAGCTGATGTAAAATATGACTTCTACTCCTCATCACTATAATGGGATACCTATGGTGTATGCATCATGTTAAAGCTTCCTACAAATTTCCTTAGAGATCAAAGGGTATTCTTCTTGAAGATACAAGGAAGATCCTACATGGTTTTGTAAATACTGAATAATGATGTCACAACAACCATTATCTTTATTGCAGTGGCTACCTTCTTAAGGTCTTCTCCACTTCCCTCGGACATACAAAGGAGGTATTGGAGGTGGGGCAAGAGAAAGGAATACAGAGAATTCCTTCAGTGAGAAAAAGGCAGTTCCTTCAGTGAGAGAAGGACAATTCACAAGCAGGAAATACATAGAATAAAATATATTAATTTCATCCATGATGATCATCAAATTGTTTACTGCAATTTTCTTCTTGCAATCCCTTCTTGTTTATTTGATCATTTTGGTAACTAGCTTTTCTTCTTTCATAGTACTGGTCAATCAGGTTGCACGATCCAGAAGCATCACTCTCCCTATAATTGTTTGAATTCAATTCTAAAGCCTTTTTTCAATTCATCTCTTAGCTAGAGTCTAGATCGTCAAAAAAGCAGTCAAGGTGCCTTTGTCAGAAAGAAGCCAGACTTATGTCTTGTTTGCAGAGTGCCTCTCTTATTCATAAATCAAAGTACGAGCACATTAGGTCAGTGCAAAACACTAAGAAACACTGTGGCCTCCCATTAGAAGGAAGCACAATTATTCTGCTGGTTCACATTTTTCAAATGGCCTGACATTTTGAATAATTGATAAGTGTATAATTTCTTAAGGAGAAGTATATTTTCAGTAATGGTCATTCCCCATAGAGGAGATGTCCTCTGTCCTCTGTGGATTTATTTCATAAGGTGCCATTTTAGAAATCTCTCTCTCTCTCTTTCTCTTTGTGTGTGTGTGTATACAGATGATATGAATTGCATGAATATTAACAACAATTGATCAAGGAGAGGGTCCCATGAAGGCAAAAGAGCATGTCAAAATCCCTGTTAATCTCACAAATAAAAGTAGAATAGATTCCTATTTTCTATTGGTAAGATGTTGTTATTGTTAGGGGGCAGGGGGGGAGTTGGATGAAAGGGGAATACAGAAGCTAGTTTTCAGTGGCATAGAGAACTCTGTATGTTGAAATTGCCTCCACTACTGTAGACTGACACCTTTGTCTATTGAGCATGTAATAGAGATGATATTTAGATAGAATCATGGTAGCACTTACTAATCTTTTGTTTAATTGTTCTGGAAAACTAGGAAAACCCCCAAATACAACATGCCCTCAAGTGAATAGTATGCTAACATTTCATATTACACAGAATTACATGGCACTTGAACCTATCTCTTTCTTAACTTTTTGTCTTGCCACTTCAAGTGATAACATTTCATAATCTCATTGACCATTCAGGAACACTTAAGAGTCTCTTTCTGAGATCATTACTGACATAGTTATTATGAAAAGACATTTTGTTTAACCTTGATTTCTTATTCTACAATTTTTGATAAATAGGATTAGAATTATACTCTCCAGTTGTTCAGTTTGTCTATAAGGTCTAGGTTAGAGGAGAAGCTAGCTGCCATGTTTAATCAAAATAATTTCATATATGAGCATTTATAAGGACAACAGTGTTTCACAGTGTCTTACAGTCATGCTCCAAGCTAAAGGAAATATGACACTGGCACAGATGTTACAGTACAATAAGACCAGAGTTCAAATGTATGTACAAGTTTGGTGACAACATTGATGTGTTTTCAACAAGACATTTAACAGAAACCTACATAAAATAAAATAGTTAAATTTATCAAACATTGATAAATTTTTAAGACAATATAAAAGTACAGAAAACATGGAAAAAGACTAAAAATACCAAGCTAATACATATGGTACAAATTTACTACATTTAGATTACAGAATGATGGAAAATAGAGACAAAAAGAAACAGCCTGGGGACGAACAGCAAAGAAAGTTACACCAGGAGCAAAGAGCAGACTTTCCTTGCTGAGTGATGGGACACACAATGGCACAACCCATCTCATCCACGCATATGCACACATAGAAAAGTAAAAGCAAATGTCAAGAGTCTACAGGTAACAAATGACAGACAGAGAAACGTGAGAAGCATTTGGCATGTTGCGTGCGTCACATGAAGTCATTCACGATTGCCTAACGATGATGGTACCTGGCTCTGTTGCAGATCGCTGGCTTGCCTGAGAGGAGTAACTGATGCTGACGGAGGAGGCACACCTGATGTGGATGCAGATCGACCTAATCTGCAGCTTACTTTAGGCTCTGTGAAGAAGGGAAGAAGACAAAGAGTTAGCATCACTGACCTCAATTCAGGCTTGTGAGAAGTAAGGAAATGAACCTCTCCTATAGAGTGATGTCAAATTGATTTCTCTGAGGAACCATTTCATAAGAATATCTTCCATGCAGTTATGATGAGTAACTGCTTCCAAGTTCTCTGTCATTGTACTTTACCACCATGCATTATAATATATGGGCTATTATCAGGACTGTTATTAATGGCCATTGATTAAATCCTTCAGTGACCATCGATTGTGAACAGTGCTCCATGCTTAGATCAGCAATTTGGGAACAAGGAGAAACATCTGCAAACCACTACATTGCCTGCATTCCTCCTCATTTCTAAATTGATCTAAAAAAGTAAAGGGCAGTTTGTTTTAAGGGTTTTGGTCAGTTTCTAAAAGAATCATACATTCTTTGTATTAATATTTCATTATGTTAGGGCAACTTATTCAACAAATGGCATTTTTATTTTTTCGCACTGACAATCTTGAACAACACCACCACGATCTTAGTGATTATTAGTTAATAGATGACTCCAAGTTGCCTTGCTACTACTTTATTGGCCTAGCCAAAAATATAGAATTGAACTTGCAGTAAGGGAAAGAACACTGCTTTGAAGTCAGAGGACCCAACCTCTCATGATGATGACTGAGATAAATCAGTTAATCTCTGGGTGCCTCAGGTTTTCATTTGGATGTTAAATTAAATGTCCTCTGTGGTTCCTTTCCTATGATCGTTCACTTCGTTACTTTATTAAAGTATCTTGTAAAATTTCCTAACACTATACAAAACGCTATGGGATTTACGAAATTTACAAATAATCATTTTTAAAGAAATTACAATTTAGGCCACAAAAGGGTCAAAAACATGACACAGAGATAGAGTTTAATCTTCTCACTTTACAGATGAGGAAACAGGTCCAGAGAAATGAAGTAAGTCACATAGCTAGTAAGTATCTAGAATGGATTAGAACCCAAGGCTTCCTGACTTAACTTCCAGAACTCTAGTCGCCACTAACAGTGTCATCTAACCAGTCAGGCTGCATGTGGACCACAAAACTCCAGAGTGCCTCCTGAGCCAGATTAAAATGTAATTGGGAAATGCTTAATGGAATAACTATAAAATACAATATAATATAGATAATGTTAATTTGTGGTTTTCTAAGTCAATATGCTACCCACAGTGTCTGCTTCTATTTGAGTTTGGTACTACTGCCCTACACCACATTAATCCTTAAAAATATCTTTCACTGCTAAAAGCTAATAGATAGTTTAAGGAATCTCGCAAAGCCATTTAAGTAAAATAACTGTTACTGAAAATGAAAAAAAAGGGATGAAGACAATAGTGCATTGGATTTCATTAATAAAATAATTGTTTATTTTTATAAATGTATAAGTTAAGTTTTGGTTCCTCTCCAGTTAGTACTTTTTCCAGACTCTCCAAGCCTTTTTCTAGAATATGCCATAAACATCTTCAATCAGATGTCTCCCTTGAATTTCACATACTGGAAGTAACTACTATGCTTGAGGAAATTGACTATGTAGCAGAGGAAGAGCCAGCAGAAGTGAGCAGTAGAGATGAGTGGAAATGCCTTACACATGAAGATTTCTAACCAGTGATTTTAAGTAATAGTGAGAAACGTCCTGTGGGCTTTGTGGGGTCAAAGGTTACTTGTTCATTGGTCTTGGTTTTCATTCAATAAAAATGTTCCTGAGCATAGGCCTTCTTTGCTGTATATTGAGGAGAATATCCCAGGTTTTTTAGTTGAGGTTTGAGTCAAGTATGTGGACTTCTGGCAAAAGATGCCCTGATAAACTGAATTCAAACAACCAAGCTCCTATGTACTTATTCCAGCAAAAATTTAAAAATACAAACAAAACAATTAGTGATAAAGAAATTCAATAAAAACTATAGTGACTACTCCAGAATCACACAACTAGACAGTTAGGAGCATATGGGCAATAGGAAAGAAAGTCTTTCAGAAAAGTCATCAGTACTTCAGGCAAACTATGCTATAACCTCCAACATGACCAGTCAGAGACTCTTATTATCTTCAAGGCTCTGTGTTTGTAGGCAGCAAGAGCACAAAGTTACCCTAAAAATGGCCTTTAGGGTTCTAAGACACTAAGATCATCAGCTATGAGAGCCACTGGAAGTATTTTTAATAGTGAAGGTGGTTGAAGGAATGCTCAAACTGAGACACCCAAGGATCAGGAACACAAAAGTCTCTACCATTCTCTCCTGAGATATGAAAAAAAGGTCTTGGAGATCCAGCATTTTGATCCTCATATATTCAGGGATGTACTCAGTCTGTGCATTGGAGGTCAATACAAGAATCCAGTTGATTCATGTTGAGACAAAGTAGGGGTCAGAGACTGGCTTTGGCACAAAACTCCAATTAGGGAACCAAAGATGGATAAAATGATAAAATGAATGATGAAATGACCAACCACCCTAAGTATTTTAATAAATCCAGAGATAACAAAAAGGTCCATTATTGAAGGAAATTTGTATCTCTATGAAAACTGAAATGAGAAACTCAAATGAAAAAGTGGATTTTCAAAAAGGGGGTTTATGAATACACCAAAGAAATGAAATGAGGTGAACAAATATCTTAGAACAGAAAGTCATAACCTTAACCAAAAGACTGAAAAAAGTAGAATATTTAAAGTATATGGTGTAAAGAACAACTAAGCTGGAAAACAGGAGAAGGAAAGTTATCAGACTGAATATCATTTCTAAGAGGCTTAAATACTGTATTTCAAGAAATCAGAAAAGAAAATTTCCAAGATCTCTTAGAGTAAATGGGGGCAAAGTAAAAGTATGATGAATCTACTGATTATCTCTTGAAAGAAAAGTCTGAGGATTTTGGGAAGATGGCAGAGTAAGTCAGAAAATTCCAAGTTCTCAAGATTTTCCCCCACAAAAGAGACAAAAATAGTACCTCAGGGTGAATATAGAGTGCTAAAAGTAAATAAAAGAAATAAGAGCAGGAACCAGCACATGCCTGGTGAGTGTAGAAGCAGTGGAGTGGGGATGCCACTGGCTACAGGCACTTACAGGAGGCTGGAGGTATCTGTGTAGGTTCTAGGCCAAAGGGGAAAACTGAAGGGGAATCTGAGGCCAGAGGCACCATCCCCCATACCCTAGGACTAGAGGTGATTACAAAAACTAAGCTATTACAAATTTAAAAAATAAATGCAGAAACAAAGGAGAAAGAATTCAAACATAGAGAGTTACTATGGGAATAGAAAAGACTGGGGTTTATCTTCAGAGGAGGATACTAAAGCAAAGAAACCCTCTTCTACCCCAAAGAGTAATGTTAAATGTTCACCTGCCCAAAAAGAATTAATAGAAGAACTTTTAAAAAGCCTTTAAAAATCCAATGAGAGAGACCAAAGAGAAACAGAAACATAACAAACAAACAAAAGAAACAATCCAAGAAAAACAAGATTATGAAAAGAAAGCCAACAAATTAGAAAAGGAGATCCAGAATCTTAAGGAAGAAAATGACTCCTTGAAAATCAGAATTGGGCAAAGGGAAGCCAGTGAAATTATAAGAGATCAATAAATAATAAAACAAAATATAAAGAATGAAAAAAATTGAAGAGAATGTGAAATATCTCATAAGAAAAACAACTAATCTGGAGAACAGATCAAGAAGAGAAAACATAAGAATAATTTGACTACCTGAAAGGTATGATTAAAAAAAATCATGATACAATAATAGAAGAAATGGGAGAATAAGAGAGGGATCCTTGGGAAGATAAGGTAGGGATCTTTAGAGGGGAGAGTGAGGGAATAGGTCAAAGGGTGTTATAGAAGGGTGTTTAGATTTATGGGAATGGGAGGATAAGAGAGGGATACTTGGCAAGGATAGTTTAAGTAGTAGGAGAGCAAAGTAGTGGGTAGAAGTAAAATAGAGGAGTTAGGAAGGATAGGAAATAAAAGATACACATCAGAAGTAGAATTTGTTAGTGAAAGCATATTTCTATATGTGTATGTATGTGTATATATGTATATGTATATATCTATATCTACATGTAACTATATCAGTGCTTATTGTAGCCTTCTGGGGGTGGAGGGGAAAAAAGAACAAAGTAAAATTGCACATCAGAGAATACAATAAAACTTACAAGGAAGCAAAGAAAAGATGGACAGCTCTCAACACAATGTGAAGCATTTGTTATATAAGCTTTCTTGAAATAGAAATGTATTGCTATATATTTTGAATCCTCTAATATTCTGCTGTGCACATGACATGATTTTTTCTTTTCTTATTTTGTATTTAAATTTCAATATTTATGTTTATAATGCTTCTTTTTCTTTTCTTATTGTGTATTTAAGTTTTAGTAATAACAAAAGAAAAAAGAAAGAAAAGCCCAAAGGAAAAAATCTCAAGATTGTTATAGCCAAATTCCAGGGCTTCCAAGTCAAATTAAAAAAGAAAATATTACTAGCACCAGAAATAAAGATTTTTAGTTCCAAGGAATCAGTCAGTATTATACAAGCACTGGGACTTCTCTTACAAATGACAGAAGAGCTTGGAATTCAATATTTCAAAAATTCAAAGTCATTTTTGGCTTATTAGCAAAAATAACACCATACAAAGATGAGAATAATACTACATGAGGGGGGAAATGTATCTTTAATGGAATAGAGAATTTCAAATATTCTGGATGAAAAGACCAGAGCTGAGTAGGAACTATAAATGCAAATATAAGATTCAATTAAAATCTAAAAATAAAATTTTTAGAGAGTCTATATGATTCTGAAGGTCCAACATTTAACAGAGGAAGAAGAAATAAGAAGTAAGTCCATTCAGAGTGTTTTCTTCAAATGGTATTGAGGGATTATAAGAAAGTGGAGGAATTGAGGATGGATTTCTTCTATTGTAAGGGTTTAATATGAGTAAAAGAAAGAATGGAAAATGAAATACACTAGGGTGGCAAGGGAAAAAAATGGGGACAAAACTTCCTGTT